ACCAGTATAGAAATATTTTTTTTAGATCATATTGCACTTGATACAGCCTCTTCTTCCACTTCAAGTCAATCTCTTTTGGCTCCTTTGATTTGTTCCATCACATAGCGATGATGGGGGGTCATTGACATTGTCCTGCTGGGTGATGTGGTTGGTGGGGTGGAGGGTCTGAGTTTGGAGTATCCGGACGTTCCCTGAGGGTGGGTTCACTGGGGGCATCTGGGGCTGGGGGGCTGCTACCCCCCTCTGGAGGTGCTTGGGTTGCCTTGGGGGGTGGACTACTGGTGGTTGTGAGTGGGGCCCCTTGGGGGTCTTGGCAGTGGCCATGGGTTGCTGCCTGGCGGCTGCAATGCTCCTAACTAGGTCTGGGTGGGGGCTTGGGGTGTGGGATTGGTCGGCCCCGTGTGGGGATCTGGGCGGGGCCTTGGGGGTCAGGTCCTGACCTGTAGGCTGCCGGGAAGAAGGCGGGAACATGCAGCAGAGCCTGGCCCGGGCTCAGGGACCTCGGGTAGACCTTGGCTCCTCTGCTTCTTGCATCACGGGGGAGGGAGAAGTCCAGGAGGGTGAGGACCCAACCTTACCTGGATGTCCTATGTCTTATATATTCTGGAAGCTGTGCAAATGCAGGGATGGGAGTAGATATTCTGCTGGGGTGGGGCTGTGTTGGTTCCCTCGGACTCCGTGGAGCTCTGCAATGCTGCTGCGTTGGGTCCTGGCAAGATGGGCCATGCCCTGGGTGGCATTTTGGCAACAGAGGTGCCTATTGGGGCCAGTGGGGAAGCTGGCTCCCTTGAGGGCTTAGGCCAACCAGCCATTCCTCCCCATCCCCACACAATTCTCTCCTCCTGCTCCCTCACATCATCACACAAACTTGCATATAGGACTTTGGGGGGTGGACAAGTCAGGGGGTGTGGGTATGGACCCCATTAACGCATTTCTGTGGCAGCCTGCCCCCCAATTTTATTTGCACATTAAACACTTCCACCAACGACATTCCACGTAAACGCACACTTATGGCCTTGGTAGTAAGCACTATTTCTAATTTCCCTCTGGGGTTAATAAAGTATCTTTGAATTTGATACAACAGCATTTTCCCAGGTGCTGGTGCCCACTTCCAATTTTAATCTGCACTTAGACACAGAGGGCTGTGGGTGGAAGAGGGGTGGTGTGGTGGCATCAGCTGGCATAGGCCAGACGATACCTGCACTGCCCACTCACCACAGCCACGAATACACCTCATCAATACGCACCAACACTGTATTGGAGCAGGCGGAGGGTGACTAGTGGTCTTAGCAGACCTCTGTTGTTGCTTGGCTTCCCGGGGCTGGAGGCTAGGAGGGGGATCTGGCCGTCTGGTTGGGGTCTGGGTGGTGGGTCGCTTTTCTCTGCGTTGGGCGGGGGAGTCTGCTCATCAGCACCCCAGCAGAAGGGGTCAAACTCTAAGAACCGGTGATGGTTGTACCCTTTGTGCAGCAGTACCGGGACTAGAGTGAATATGGTGTGTATGGGGAGTATGAGTGGTTGTCTGGCGTGCCTTTTTGTGAGTCTTAGGTTGTATGTGTATGTGTGAGCATGAGGGAGGGAGTGTGTGACTGTGTTTGTGTATGACTGTATATGTCTGCTGAGGCCTTTGACTCCTCCCCTCTCCTGGGACTTCTTTTGCTGCTATACATCTTCGCCTCCCCTCCCCCTGTCACACTTGGTGTGGAGTGTTGTGCCTTGGTCTGCCTGAGTGCTCGCGGCTCCCGGGTCAGGGGGTTTAAGATTTTTAGCGTCTGCCTGATTAATCCCGGTGGCTGCCTGGTGGGATCTGGGCCCCTGGGCTATGTTGGGTCCCCGGCGTGGCTGGTTGCCCCTGGGTCCCGTGTCGCTGGGTTCGGGGCTCGGCCGGCTTGGGGGTAGGAGGCTGTGGGCTTGCCGCTTATATCTCCCGGGACTCTGCTGGTTGTGGCCCCCCGGGGAAATCCTCTGCGCCTCTCGAGGGGGGCAAGGACGTTTCTGGTCGCAGTCTCCCTGGGGTCCCTGCGCTCTGGGGCAGCTCCTGGATCTCTGAGACTTGGAGCTCCTTCCATCTCCTACGCATCTTTGGGGGGCAGATCTGTGGCCCCTCAACACTCTCTATTGCAGAGATTCCCAAAGTGTGGTGCGCGCACCCCCGGGGGTGCGCGTGCTGCCGCTAGGAGGTGCGCGTGCTGCCCCTAGGAGGTGCGCGAGGTGAAAAGTGTAATGGCTGCAGAGCTCAGAGAAGTCTGTCATATGTCACCATTAGCGTAGCCAGAAACTCATTTGTGGGTGGGCCTAAGAAAAAGTACGTGGGCCCAATAAATGTAATTGAAAACAAGTATATTTTTGCGTGCGCGTGTCCTCCACATGTGCCCTAGCTTCATAATAACAATGCGCCGAGCTTCAGCACTCTGGCCTGCGCACGCCGATATGTTCCGTATTTGATCATTTTTAACGGTGTTGGAGGAATATGAAGGTGGCGAGTCATTCTGGCAGATTGTAATTAACACCCTGTCTCATGCAGGTGTTCTGACATTGTAAACCTCACACACAGAACATTGTGGATGTAACAAAATAAATCAAGAAATGATTCCCATTCAGGCTATCAACAGCACGCTGAAGATCTGAAGTTCAGAGTGCGTCTGTCAGAGGTCAGACGCGTTCCAGCGGAACCACGGCTCACGGGTGCACATGTGAGCACATCTGGGCTGGGCAGAAGTAATTTTACAACATTGGTTTAAATAGCGCCATTAACGAGACGCGGTGACTGGAGCGGCTCATGGAGCTGTGCCGTGCGCGCGCGCACACACACACACACACACACAGATTCAATAAGCGTGCAAACTCCGGCGCGCCGTCAGACTGAAGGCAGAAATGAGCGCTGCCTCCTCTGTGATAAAAACTTTTAAGAGGTTTTATAACATTTTTCATTCCAGGTCAAATTAAGATATTAGCTTCTATTTTTGGATGACGTATTAAAGTCGGGTCCGCTCCAGCCAGTGACTCCGAACCTGACTACAACTCATGTTACTGCAGCATTTGTTATTCCAGTCCGCGTGGCAGCGGATCGCAGATTCAGCCACACCATAAAACAGCAATAAGTCAGTCTGAGGCAAAAGTGAACCTCATGGCTATATCTTTTCCATCTTTTCCCCTATAGACATTTGATTACGCACAAGTAGGTGACCAGTTCAGGTTTACGCAGAGCAGAAGGAAGGAGAGCGCTCTGGCCGCACAGGTTAAACGTTCCTACTTTAAGAAAACTGTTAAATTGCATTGTTTATGTGCTACCTGGGCACTCTAAATATTTATTTAAAATTAAATCAAAGGAAATTGTAATGGTATCGAATGTTTATTAATTACTATTTAAAAAATGAAAGTGATGGGGAAAAAGGCCGATTATAATTTTTAACCCTGTCTGTTTAGCTTGACGTCATATATATATATATATATATATATATATATATATATATATATAATGTGTGTGTGTGTGTATGTATGTATGTATAGCCATATATATAGCCATGCCCTGATGTGGGGGCTGGGGGGTGCGTCGACATGGTCGGGACATAGAAGGGGGTGCGCGGCTAAATAAGTTTGGGAACCACTGCTCTATTGGATGCTCCTATAGAGAAACCTTGCATATACAAGCGCGGGTACGCACACAGGTGCTCACATGGTGCTCTCATAAGTATGGACTTGGGCACGTTCAACACATGTCTTAAGGCTGTGGTTGGCACTTAATGCACTGTGATTTGTTATCGTGATTGTTCAGTAAAACAATGTTTTTATATTTCCTCATCAGGGTGACGCAGTGATAGCTTGCTCCTGTTGTATTGCTGTGTGTCCCTTTTCTTTTTCTTTTCTCTCCTTCTGCAGGTCTAGAAGCAGACTCTGTTCATCATTGATTGTTTGTTTTAGTGGAACCGCTCCCCCCCCCCCCCCCTCCTTTTGTCTCTTCCTTTCTCTTTCACCTCTGTCTGCGTGTCTGGTTGGAATTACAGGCATTCAAAAAACAATAACGATAAAGTTTTAAGTATCGGGCGTGACAATAAAAGCAGAAACTTTGATGCTCCACCTGAGAGTAAATCTGTAAGGCTTGTCATCAGCATTCAGACATTAATTCTGTTTGCTTCACAGCCAGACAGGACATGGTAAAAAAAAAATTTAAAAAGCTTGCTTACGCACAAAACGGGGTCTGAATACTGTGTAAGCAACTTTCCACGCAAACTTTGGGATTTATGAAAGAAAACTTAGCGGGAAAATGTGCGCAACTTTAAGTTGACTAAGGACCTGGCTTACACACATTTTGGACATGGAGAGCACCTGCAGTGCTGCTGCTGAGAAGGATAAAATTATGAAATCCTGTGGTTGTGCTGGGGTTGGCTTTTTGTTAGCCCCAAGACTTTCTGCCAGATTACTAATCTGGGTTTTTGTCTTTATTCACCTGGAGTCTAGCTGAGCAATAACATCCATTCTAACCTTCTTGTTGCCAAAGATGATAACTTCAGCATTGTCTTTGTGTAGTTGAAGGAAGTTTGACTGCATCCATTTGTTTACTTGTTCTAGGCACTGACAGAGTGAGTCCAGTGGCCGATGGTCACTAGGTGATTGGGCTAGGTAGATCTGGTTGTCATCAGCATAGCTATGATAGGTGATGTTGTTATTATGACCTGACCTAGGGGGACCATGTAGAGATTAAAGAGTGTTCCTACAATTTAGCCTTGGGGGACCTCACATGTCATGGTGATCTGCTTTGATTTGTAGTTTCTAATAGAGACATCATAGCCCCTGTCTTATTATACAACTGTTATATGTGTGAATATAAGGTTACAAAGGTTGGTCATTCACATCACGTGTTTCTGCGTTTCCTACAGTTGTCCAAAAGATGGCGCTGGTTAAAGAAGAAGATCCTGAAGACCAGAGTGTTGATGTAGACCAGCAGAACCCAGAGCACCTCCACATAAAGGAGGAAGAGGAGGAACTCTGGACCAGTTTGGAGAGAGAGCAGCTCCATTCGAAGGAGACTGATGCCGTCAGATTTCCATTCTCTGCAGTTTCTATAAAGAGTGAGGATGATGCAGGGAAACCTGTGTTATCACAGCTTCATCAGCAAATAGAAGACAGAGATGTTCCAACCAGCAGCTCAGCTGACCAGATGGCAGCAGGAACAGGTGGAGAAGCAGAAAATAGTAGAAATTTAGATCTAAACCCTCATGAACAGACATCTGACTCTGAGCTGTCAGACTTCTGGCCTGAAACTGGAGAAAGAGACAATGACTCAATCTTTAGCTGCCCAGAGTGTGGTAAACAATTTGTCCAAAAGTGGTCTCTCCAGATACATTTGAGGGTGATGGGTCATTCAGAAATAAGTTCTTCAGATGGTTTTGTTAATAAGAAATTTGATAGTGTGAAGCAACTCGTAGACTCATGCAGGAAACTGAAATCATATAGGTGTGATTACTGTGGAAAACGATTTGTTTCAAAATCACATTTAGAGAGTCATGAGATTTTCCACACAGAACAAAAACCTTTTGTTTGTGAACTCTGTGGACAAAGATTTACTAAAAAGCGGAGTTTAAACAAACACCTGAGATCCCACTCAGGACAGAAACCTTTTGCTTGTGAGCTCTGTGAACAAAGATTTGGTGAGAAGGCATATTTAACCCGTCACATGAACGTCCACACAGAACATAAACCCTTTGCTTGTGAGCACTGTGGACAAAGATTTAGCAGAAAAGAATATTTAACCCGTCACATGAGTGTCCACACAGGACAGAAGCTTTATGTTTGTGACCACTGTGGAAAAAGGTTTTACAAAAGAGCCCACTTAAAGACTCACGTCAGCATCCACACAGGACAGAAGCCTTTTGCTTGTGAGCTTTGTGGAAAGAGATTTAGTCAAAAGTTCAATTTAAACAAACACATGAGTCTCCATAAAACACAAAAAAATTAATTTAACAAGAGTATCTAAAGGACCCTTGTAGTCTTTACATCCAAGATGTCAGTTTTGTACTCCTGGTGGCAATCCTCTACCCTAGATCAGAGCTACATTAGGTCCATAAGCCACCTCTTTCTGGCCAGAGAGCCACATATTTCAAACTATGTCCAATGCTTAACGGGACAGATTACGATAAGCTCGTCCATGCTTTTGTCTCTTCTTGAATAAAAACTACAATGCAATCCACATTGGGATCCCTGAAAAAAAGCATTCAGAGACTACATTATATCAGAACTGTGCTACTAGGATCCTGATGAGGGTGTGTGTGTGTGTGTGTGAGACAAATAAATAAATTAATATAAGGAGCTTTATTAAATTGGCTGGTATTTTCTTTTTTAATGACACAATTTAGATCTGCCAGTGTAGGGATGGCAAGCTGGGCGGTGTAAAGGTTTAATTAATGAACCATAAGACATGAGACTCCATAGTAAATATGAATTCAATCTTGTGGTTCTTTGGGTAATTTTAACCAGAAGATTGGAACTTTTTATTGCAGTGATTTTGTAACACTTCGTATTAACTGAGAGACAAGAGAAGAGGGTCACTCTTAAAACGTTTAAGAAGACGTATTTCTAAACAATATTAAACGAGACTAACTCTAAATTCTAAGTGAATGGATGGATCTTGGTGTGAATGAGACGTGAGATGAATGGTGTATGTGTGAGTGATGTTTGTCATCAGAACTCTCGTATCCGGAGAAGCAAGTCTGAATGATGTTGTGACGTTTTGCTTTTAAGCTATGATCGGAGTTTCATAAACACATAAGACTCCATATTTGTCCCTCTACACATACCCTTCAGGATGAGACCTCCATACAGATCCAGACTGCAAGGTCCTTGAACCCCCCTTTCGATACCGGAGTCAATGAAACAGTGTCAGCAGTACGACAGACTAGTCTTTGGATTGTCTCCAGGTAAAAAGCGACAGGTGGTTGACAGCGTCAGATGGACCCCCTTGGGGTCAGTGAGTCCAGCTTTTATTCTGAAAGGAACCGTTGCTTGGTTGGTAAAATGAAATAGATTTTATCCAGCTTGTTGGTTCTTTGCTTAAAAAGGAACTCCAGGTGGCCGGTCCAATACTTCACTTAGAATGCGGTGAACTGCAGAGAACTGAACTAAGATGGCGTGGGACTGGTTTTATTAATCTGGATGTTTTGATTTCTGGTCGAATCAAAGTTGGCAGATTTATAAACAGCACAGAGACTATGCCACGCTTCAGAAAGGAAGGTTCTGATTGGATGAGTAAACAATGTGTCATGCGTTTACATTACGTGTAGTCAGCATGTCTAGTGCAGCTAGATTAAAGTCATATTACTTATTAAAGCATATTAATCATAGCATTGTCATTTCACAGATTGGTCAGCATTATATTATTGACTAACACTTTGTTTGATTAGCTTTATTAAAGATAGAGTTCTTTGATTTATTAAAAGGAAAGAGTCCTTTGTCTTCATTCTTCTCTTGAGCTGGAAAGAAAGCAGTTTAGAAGCAAATGCCTGACCTTGAGGCAGTCTCATGCAGATTAGTTCTGTGTCAGAGGCATCTGTGGAGAGAGGGTAAATAACCTTCGGTGGAATAGCACCTTCATCACGTTACAGCGGGATGTGCTCTGCCGTCCTGGTACCAGTCAGTAAACAAGAAGGACCTGGGTGCAACACGCAGAAACAGATAGCGTCAGGCCAGGTGTCAGACTCCTCCCTTATTTGGAAATGATGCAATAGCATTCCGGAACTGAAGGGGGTGCTATAACTAATATCACCTAAAACACAAGATTGTGGAGGACGGAGAGGTTCGTTGATTAAACCCTAACCCAACACTTGCCATTATTATTTATTCAAGCCTTTATTGGTAAACTGTTTAAGATGTGGCAGAGTGGCTGAATTGCTCCACCTACTGCCACCTCCCCTTTATTATGGAGCCAGCCAATCAGGGCCCTGGTGGCTTCCTTTAAATGGCTTACCTGGTCAGGTGTGTTTAGACTTTTGATTGCTTTCACTTCATTAGGCTTTTTGTTGCTACCCCCTCCCTTCCACAAGCTGAGGGGGGTGGCGGAGCTTGGGGCTTCTCCGTCTGTCCCAAGCAGTGCATAAGGAAGGGCCTAACTGAGAAGCAGCCAGTTTGGGACGGCGCACATGGATCCATTGGTGGAGGCGCATAGTGAGCCAAAGGAAACACTGTGGCAGGCTAGGAAGGTGCTGGAACATCTGTTGGACAGAGAGCTGTCAGTGTTGATCTGCTGGAGTTATGGGACCAGAAGGAGCTCTGTTGAGGCCACAACCCAAACAGCTGAGTGGTTTGGCAGGCAGGCCTTTGAGTGGGCCATCAATTCTTGGTACTAGGGTGGATGAACCACATTCCTCCACTCTCAGGACTGCCTCCACAACAGCCAAAAGGACTGTATTTAATGCCTCTCTTTTAATCTGTGTAGTTATAACTGTCTTATCCTTTCATTCCCATTTGGAGACTGCCGGTGGTCGGTGCTTTTCTCCTCCCCCGGTGTGGCGTGAGAAATCTTTATATTTTGGAGTATAAATCCAGGCTTTGTTGTGTAGCAAATTATATTTATCTTTAATTTTAACATAGAACAGACTATTAACAATTGTAAACTCGTAACAGCCATAGTTCATATATGGTCTGACAACTGGCCCGACGCCATAAACTCCTCCCTGACAAGTAAAACATAATCCACTGGAGTGCCAAGCCAGTAATTCCTCTAAGCCCCGCCCTTTCACTCCAGTGACAGATGTGCTTTACCACCTCCAGACCGGTAGGTGGCGGAAATGATCACCAACCGCCACAAAGCAGATAGGAGAAGCTCCTCCAGAAGCTCGCAGACTGTAGCAGCAGAAGCTGCAAACCATCACCAGGCTGTGAAAACCTCAACAACTTGGTGGAGATCTGTCCAGAACCAGGGAAGATATTCTGCAGTCTTCGTGACAATCGGAGCTCCAGAATCAGTTTCTGGGTCAGAGAAGCTTTTCTCTAGACTTCCTGACCTCTGGATCTGCTGCAGATTGAAGAGGTTCCCTCTATCAGACTCGGTCATCTGAGTTGGTCATGATGCCGGTCAGGATCGCTGCTCACTCTCTGATCCATCCTGCTCACACTCTCCGACGGAAAAGCCTCAGAACGTCGTCAGCTGCTTTGTTTCTGTTGCAGCTGTTAGCTAAACACGGCTAAATCAGACCTGCTACCACTTGAGGATCTGGGACTGATTCATCATCTGGATCTGGACAACATGGATACAGGTATACAACTACTATTGTGTGTGTACTTAGGGGTATCATGAATGGTGAATTTGTGACTGAAGGGCAGCATGAGTCGTCAGAGCTAGCAGCTAGCTCCCCAGAGGCATGATTTGTAATCGTAGGATGTCCTAGAAAGGTCCCGCCTTTCTCTTCTCTGAGTGGCTACAATAGCTCTCCTATGATTGGCTATTTCATTTAGCAGCAAACCGTCTTCCCAAAGCGCAGACTACTGATGGTATTGATGTACATACAGTTCCTCAAAAATGTAGCATATTGTGATAAAGTTCATTATTGTCTCTAATGAACTGATAAACATTAGACTTTCATATATATATTAGATTAATTACACACAACTGAAGTAGTTCAAGCCTTTTATTGTTTCTAATATTGATGATTTTGGCATACAGCTCATGAAAACCCAAAATTCCTATCTAAAAAAAATAGCATATAATGAAAAAGTTCTCTAAACGAGCTATTAACCTAATCATCTGAATCAACTAACACCTGCAAAAGATTCTTGAGGCTTTTAAAAACTCCCAGCCTGGTTCATTACTCAAAACTGCAATCATGGGTAGGACTGCCAACCTGACTGCTCTCCAGAAGGCCATCATTGACACCCTCAAGCAAGAGGGTAAGACGGTAAGACACAAAGAAATTTCTGAACGAATAGGCTGTTCCCAGAGTGCAGCATCAAGGCGCCTCTGTGGGAAGGAAAAAGTGTGGCAGAAAACGCTGCACAACAAGAAAAGGTGACTGCACCCTGAAGAAAGATAGAGGAGAAGGACCAATTCCAGACCTTGGGGCACCTGCGGAAGCAGTGGACTGAGTCTGGAGTAGAAACATCCAGAGCCACTGTGTACAGGCGTGTGCAGGAAATGGGTTACAGGTGCCGCATTCCCCAGGTCAAGCCACTTTTGAACCAAAAACAGCGGCAGAAGCGCCTGACCTGGGCTACAGAGAAGCAGCACTGGACTGTTGCTCAGTGGTCCAAAAGTACTTTTTTCAGATGAAAGCAAATTGTGCACGTCATTCAGAAATCAAGGTGCCAGAGTCTGGAGGAAGACTGGGCAGAGGGAAATGCCAAAAGGCCTGAAGTCCAGTGTCAAGTACCCACAGTCAGTGATGGTCTGGGGTGCCATATCAGCTGCTGGTGTTGGTCCACTGTGTTTTATCAAGGGCAGGGTCAATGCAGCTAGCTATCAGGAGATGTTGGAGCACTTCATGCTTCCATCTGCTGAAAAGCTTTATGGAGATGAAGATTTTATTTTTCTGCACGACCTGGCACCTGCTCACAGTGCCAAAACCACTGGTAAATGGTTTACTCACCATGGTATTACTGTACTCAATTGGCCTGCCAACTCTGACCTGAACCCCATAGAGAATCTGTGGGATATTGTGAAGAGAAAGTTGAGAGACGGAAGACCCAACACTCTGGATGAGCTTAAGGCCGCTATCGAAGCTTCCGGGGCCTCCATAACACCTCAGCAGTGCCACAGGCTGATTGCCTCCATGCCACGCCGTAGAACCCCCGTGGTTCTACCAGCTGATTGTTTGCTAAGGATCTCCGAGCCCTATTTGGAGTATATACAGGAATGAGATCTGACATGTATTTTGGTCCCATGCCACTGAGTGATTTATAAACTAGTAGGAGCACTTTGAAATCTATTCCAGTGTAGGGATCTAAGAACAGGAGTGATGTGCTCCGTTCTTTTAGTTCTTGTTAAGACTCTAGCAGCAGCACTCTGAACAAGCTGCAGTTGTTTCACAGCTTTTTTTTTTTTTGGGAAGACCAGTTAGGAGACCATTGCAATAGTCCAGCCGACTAGAAATAAAAGCATGAGTAAGTTTCTCTAAGTCTGTCTGGACATGAGACCTCTGACTCTTAATATTTGACGAAGGTGATAAAACGATGATTTAGTTATAGCCTTAATATGTCCAGAGAAACTCAGGTCTGAGTCAATGATAACACCTAGATTTCTAATCTGGGTTTTTGTCTTTATTCACCTGGAGTCTAGCTGAGCAATAACATCCATTCTAACCTTCTTGTTGCCAAAGACAAAAACTTCAGTCTTGTCTTTGTTTAGTTGAAGGAAGTTTGACTGCATCAATTTGTTTACGTGTTCTAGGCACTGACAGAGTGAGTTCAGTGGCCGATGGTCACTAGGTGATAGGGCTAGGTAGATCTGGTTGTCATCAGCATAGCTATGATAGGTGATGTTGTTATTATGACCTGACCTAGGGGGACCATGTAGAGATTAAAGAGTGTTCCTAGAATTTAGCCTTGGGGGACCTCACATGTCATGGTGATCTGCTTTGATTTGTAGTTTCTAATAGAGACAACATAGCCCCTGTCTTATTATACAACTGTTATATGTGTGAACATAAGGTTACAAAGGTTGGTCATTCACATCACGTGTTTCTGTGTTTCCTACAGTTGTCCAAAAGATGGTGCTGGTTAAAGAAGAAGATCCTGAAGACCAGAGTGTTGATGTAGACCAGCAGAACCCAGAGCACCTCCACATAAAGGAGGAAGAGGAGGAACTCTGGACCAGTTTGGAGAGAGAGCAGCTCCATTCGAAGGAGACTGATGCCGTCAGATTTCCATTCTCTGCAGTTTCTATAAAGAGTGAGGATGATGCAGGGAAACCTCTATCACAGTTTCATCAGCAAATAGAAGACAGAGATGTTCCAACCAGCAGTTCAGCTGACCAGATGGCAGCAGGAACAGGTGGAGAAGCAGAAAATAGCAGAAATTCAGATCTAAACCCTCATGAACAGACATCTGACTCTGAGCTGTCAGACTTCTGGCCTGAAACTGGAGAAAGAGAAAATGACTCAATCTTTAGCTGCCCAGAGTGTGGTAAAACATTTGTCCAAAAGTGGTCTCTCCAGATACATTTGAGGGTGATGGGTCATTCAGAAATAAGTTCTTCAGATGGTTTGGTTAATAAGAAATTTGATGAAGTGGAGCAACCCGTAGACTCACGCAGGAAACTGGAATCATATAGTTGTGATTACTGTGGAAAACGATTTGTTTCAAAATCACATTTAGAGAGTCATGAGATTGTCCACTTACAACAAAAACCTTTTGTTTGTGAACTCTGTGGACAAGGATTTGGTCAAAAACCAAGTTTAAACAAACACCTGAGATCCCACTCAGGACAGAAACCTTTTGCTTGTGAGCTCTGTGGTCAAAGATTTGGTGAGAAGGCATATTTAACCCGTCACATGAACGTCCACACAGAACATAAACCTTTTGCTTGTGAGCACTGTGGACAAAAATTTAGCAGAAAAGAATATTTAACCCGTCACATGAGTGTCCACACAGGACAGAAGCTTTATGTTTGTGACCACTGTGGAAAAAGGTTTTACAAAAGAGCCCACTTAAAGACTCACGTCAGCATCCACACAGGACAGAAGCCTTTTGCTTGTGAGCTTTGTGGAAAGAGATTTAGTCAAAAGTTCAATTTAAACAAACACATGAGAGTCTCCATAAAACACACAAAAAATAATTTAACGAGTATCTAAAGGACCCTTGTAGTCTTTACATCCAAGATGTCAGTTTTGTACTCCTGGTGGCAGTCCTCTACCCTAGATCAGAGCTACATTAGATCCATAAGCCACCTCTTTCTGGCCAGAGAGCCACATATTTCAAACTATGTCCAATGCTTAACGGGACAGATTACGATAAGCTCGTCCACGCTTTTGTCTCTTCTTGAATAAAAACTACAATGCGATCCACATTGGGATCCCTGAAAAAAAGCATTCAGAGACTACATTATATCAGAACTGTGCTACTAGGATCCTGATGAGGGTGTGCACATATGAGCATATCACCCCCATTCTGAAAAATCTTCATTGGATCCCAGTTTCATTCAGAATTGAATACTAAGTTTCTCTAATCTCTTATCGGTGCATTCATGCTCCCTCTTATTTAAAGGAACTCCTCACCTTCGTATTCTCCGGTCTGCAACAACAACTACACCCTAAATCCCCAGAACCAAGCTCTGCTGCATGGGAGATTGGGCCTTTTCACCCGCTGCTCCAATGCTTTGGAACGGCCTACCCATCCACCTGAGAGCCCCACAAACTGTAGATGCTTTTAAATGAAATGTTTAAGCTTGGGGCTCAGAAGCGCCGCGGTTTTGGGTAGTCAAATGGTCACACAGGAATCACTACGCCGCTTAACGCTTCTTGGAAAGTAGCCCGATAGTCACATTACGCGGGATTTGAGAACATGAAGCGGAAAGTGACTTTTTTGTTGTAAAGGAATCAGATTTGCTGTCGTGTTTTGTGAGACTAATTCGCGTTTTATTTGTTACGTTTGTTTTTTGAGAGGTTTTTGTTTGGCATTATTTTTATAATGCCCTCCATCTGTTTACTTGTTTGCTTGTTTTTAGAACCTTTTTTATGAAAGTTAAACCCACTATCATGTTTCTTATGTTACCCCCTGCTTCACATTTAACAACACATGTCGGGGTCGTAACACGGAATTTGGGATTTTCATTAATTGTTTGAGTCATCAAAAATTAAAGAAGTAAATATTTGAAATATATCAGTCTGTTCAATGGATGCATCTAGTATACAAGTTTAACTTTCTGAATGGAATTACTGAAATAAATAAACTTTTTTCATTATTTTCTAATTTTGTGACCGGCACCATTAGATGTCACTACTGGGTCAACAGAATCACAACACAAGCAGAGGCATACAAATGTGTGTGTGTGTGTGTGTGTGTGTGTGTGTGTGTGTGTGTGTGTGTGTGTGTGGGTGTGTGTGTGCGCGTGTGTGTATGTGTGACAAATAAAAATATGAATATAAGGAGCTTTATTAAATTGGCTGGTATTTTCTTTTTTAATGACACAATTTAGATCTGCCAGTGTATAGATGCTAAGATGGGCGGTGTAAAGGGTTAATTTACATCTAATTAATGAACCATAAGACATGAGACTCCATAGTAAATATGAATTCAATCTTGTGGTTCTTTGGGTAATTTTAAACCAGAAGATTGGAACTTTTTATTGCAGGGATTATGTAACACTTCGTATTAACTGAGAGACAAGAGAAGAGAGAGTCACCTTTAAAACGTTCAGGGTTTCCCTTACATAGGCGTAGCCGTGGCGGCCCACCACGGCTGAAATCCCACCGCCACGCCTACAAGATCCCAAGTTCTTTTTTTTTTTTTTTTTTTTTTGCGCTGTTTCCCAAAGAAGCAGCGAGAACTACTATGTTGTCGCTTGTGATCACAGCCGGCGGGAAGCAAGGAGGAGCAGGCCGGGCAGGGTGAAGTTACAGCATAAGTTACTGAGTTTAAAATTAGAAAGGTAGCAGTGGATATAATGCTTTTTGTTTACGTTTCAATAGCATTAAGATAAACGAGTGTTGACGATCTTGACAGGGTTTCCTCCCCCCGCCAGGCTAAGCATCACTTATTCATGTAAAATTTTTTTTTTTTTCATGTCTGACTTTAACCGCATCTAATACTGTATTACGGCGTGAGCGCAACAGCGACAACTTAAGATCAATGTGTGAGCAGCCTGAGAGGTCGGGTGTTTTCATCTGAACCCTTAAAACCTCCAGCAGGCTACGCTGCACTTTTGACGTGTTAGCGCGCGGCGCTAACAACTTAGCGACGTGACATGTCTCGGAGAAAGCGTAAAAACACGTTGGACGCTTCTTCTGATGCGGGAAAATAACACTTCTTCTTAAGCAGAGCACGACGTTGCCTCGGCTCGTTCGCGGCCCCGGACTGAGCTCGATAACATTGACCCAGCACAGCCACTGGGTCGTTGGAGCCGCCCCATGACTGCCTGATGGAAAACCAGCGGGTTTCATCAGACTCGTAAAGTTTCTTGATTTTGATGGGGACCCCCTGTATTTTACCGCTCCCTCCTGCCGTCTTCCCCTATTAACATTTAAAATGATTCTGTAAATTCCGTGTATCGATAGAAACAATCTCTGCCTCTGCCAGCTGCAGTAAATGTAGTCTCCAAATAATAAATAAGAGGTGCATTCATCTGTGTATCTCCTTGTACTGTGTATCCCCCCCCCCCACCCCCCCACCCCGGCCCCACCGCCACAGCTGGAAAAATTCCTAAGGGAAACACTGACGTTTAAGAAGACGTATTTCTAAACAATTTTAAACAAGACTAACTCTAAATTCTAAGTGATTGGATGAATCTTGGTGTGAATGAGACGTGAGATGAGTGGTGTTTGGGTGAGTGATATAATCATAACTCTCGTATCCAGAGAAGCAAGTCTGAATGATGTTGTGATGGTTTGCTTTTAAGCTATGATTGGAGTTTCATAAACACATAAGACGCCATATTGTCGCTCTACACATACCCTTCAGGATGCGACCTCCGTACAAATCCAGACTGCCAGGTCCTCGAACCCCCCTTTCGATACCGGAGTCGATGAAACAGCGTCAGCAGTGCGACAGACTAATCTTTTGGTTGTCTCCAGGTAAAAAGGGACAGTTGATTGACAGCGTCAGATGGACCCTGAGGGTCAGTGAGTTCAGCTTTTATTCTGAAAGGAACCGTTGCTTGAAAGGCTTTTTGTTAGCCCCAAGATTCTCTGTCTGTGTGTTGGGGTTTACCCCGGGTGACGAGATGGAAGTTTTCCTGCGCCTTCGGCTCGGGGAACAGGTCCTGACTGTTGTTTGTGCTTTTGGACCAAATATCAGTGCAGAGTACCCACCCTTTTTGGAGTCCCTGGGACGAGTGCTAGATAGTACTCCATCAGGGGACTCCATTGTCCTGCTGGGGGACTTCAATGCTCACGTGGGCAATGACAGCATGACCTGGAGGGGTTTGATTGGGAGGAACGGCCCGCCTGATCTGAACTCGAGTGGTGTTTCGTTATTGGACTTCTGTGCAAGCTGCAGTTTGGCCATAACGAACACTATGTTCGAACATAAGGATGTCCATTGGTACACTTGGTACCAGGGCAGCCTAGGTCGCAGGTCGATGATAGACTTTGTAGTCGTATCATCTGACCTGCGGCCGTATGTTTTGGACACCCGAGTGAAGAGAGGAGCGGAGCTGTCAACTGATAACCACCTGGTGGTAAGTTGGATCAGATGGCAGGGGAAGATGCCGCGTAGACCTGGCAGACCCAAACGCATAGTGAGGGTCTGCTGGGAACGCCTGGCAGAAGAACCTGTCAAGACGGTCTTCAACTCCAACCTCCGGCAGAGCTTTGACCGCGTCTCGAGAGCAGTGGGGGGACATTGACTCCGAGTGGGCCTTGTTCCACTCTGCGATTGTCGAGGCGGCTGTTGCTAGCTGCTGTCGCAAGGTGGCCGGTGCCAGTCGTGGTGGCAACCCCCGTACCCGCTGGTGGACACCAGAGGTTCGGGGAGCCATCAGGCTGAAGAAGGAGGCCTACAGGGAGTGGCTGGTCTGTGGGTCTCTGGAGGCAGCAGACAGGTACCGGATAGCCAAGCGGGGTGCAGCAGTGGCAGTTGCCGAGGCAAAATCTCGGGTGTGGGAGGAGTTCGGTGAGGCCATGGAGAAAGGCTATCGATCGGCTCCAAAGAGGTTCTGGCAAACTGTCCGGCACCTCAGGAGAGGAAGGCAGAAACTCGCTCACACTGCTTACAGTGGGGATGGGGGGCTGCTGACGTCAACTGAGGCTATAGTCGGACGGTGGAAGGAATACTTTGAGGAGCTCCTCAATCCCACCTACGCGCATTCCGAGGAGGAACCAGAGCCGGGAGACCTGGGGATGGACTGTCCAATCTTGGGGGCAGAAGTTGCTGAGGTAGTCAAACAACTACACAGCGGCGGAGCCCCGAGGGCAGATGAGGTTCGTCCTGGGTATCTCAAGGCTATGGATGTTGTAGGGCTGTTGTGGTTGACACGTCTCTGCAACATTGCGTGGTCATTGGGGCAGTTCCTGTGGAGTGGCAGACTGGGGGGGTGGTCCCCATCTTTAAGAAGGGTGACCTGAGGGTGTGTTCCAACTATAGGGGGATCACACTCCTCAGCCTCCCTGGAAAGGTCTACTCCAAGGTACTGGAGAGGAGGGTCCGATCGATAGTTGAATCTCAGATTGAGGAGGAGCAATGTGGTTTTCGTCCTGGCCGTGGAACTGTGGACCAGCTCTATACCCTTGCATGGGTGATGGAGGGGGCATGGGAGTTTGCCCAAGCAATCCACATGTGTTTTGTGGATATGGAGAAGGCTTATGACCGTGTCCCCAGGGGCACCCTGTGGGGGACGCTTCAGGAGTATGGGGTGGGTGGCTTTCTGTTAAGGGCCATTCAGTCCCTTTACCAGAGGAGCGTGAGTTTGGTCCGCATAGCCGGTAGTAAGTCGCACCTGTTCCCGGTGAGGGTTGGACTCTGCCAGGGCTGCCCTTTGTCACCGGTTCTGTTCATTACCTTTATGGACAGAATTTCTAGGCACAGCTGTGTTGTGGAGTGTGTCGAGTATGGTGGCAGGAGAATCTCGTCTCTGCTTTTTGTGGATGATGTGGTCCTCCTAGCTTCATGCAGCTCTGACCTTCAGCTCTTGCTGGGTAGGTTCGCGGCCGAGTGTGAAGTGGCTGGGATGAGGATCAGCACCTCCCAATCTGAGATCATGGTTCTCGACTGGAAAAGGGTGGCTTGCCAACTCCGGGTCGGGGGAGAGGTCCTACCTCAAGTGGAGGAGTTTAAGTATCTCGGGGTCTTGTTCACGAGTGAGGGTAGGAGGGATCGGGAGATTGACAGGCGGATTGGTTCAGCATCTGCAGTGATGCGGATGCTGAGCCGATCTGTCGTGGTGAAGAGGGAGCTGAGCCAGAAAGCCAGGCTCTCGATTTACCGGTCGATCTACGTCCCAATCCTCACCTATGGTCATGAGCTTTGGGTAAAGACCGAAAGAACGAGATCGTGGATACAAGCAGCCGAAATGAGTTTCCTCCGTAGGGTGGCCGGGCTCAGCCTTAGAGATGGGGTAAGGAGCTCGGACATTCGGGAGGGACTCGGAGTAGAACCGCTGCTCCTCCGGATCGAAGGGAGCCAGTTGAGGTGGTTTGGCCATCTGGTCAGGTTGCCTCCTGGACGCCTCCCCGGGGAGGTGTTTCGGGCATGTCCTGCCGGCAGGAGGCCCCCGGGTCGACCCATGACACGATGGAGAGGTTACATCTCCAATCTGGTCCGGGAACGCCTTCGGGTCCTGCCAGAGGAGCTGGTGGAGAAGGCCGGGGAGAGGATGGTCTGGAGCTCCCTAGTTGGGATGCTGCCCCCGCGACCCGGACCCGGATAAGAGGAGGAAGACGACGACGACCATTGCTTGGTTGGTAAAATGAAATAGATTTTATCCAGCTTGTTGGTTCTTTGCTTGACCTTCTTGGCTTGACCTTCTTGGTGTTTTATTAATCTGGATGTTTTGATTTATGGTCGAATCAAAGTTGGCAGATTTATAAACACCACAGAGACTATGCCACGCTTCAGAAAGGAATGTTCTGATTGGATGAGTAAAAGCAATGCGTCGTGCATTTACATTACGTGTCATCAGAATGTTTAGTACAACTAGATTAAAGTCATATTACTTATTAAAGCTTACTAATCATAGCATTGTCATTTCACAGATTGGTCAACATTATATTATTGAGTAACACTTTGTTTGATTAGCTTTATTAAAGATAGAGTTCTTTTATTTATTTTTGGAAAGAGTCATTTGAGGCTGTGCAGTGGTGCAGTGGTTAGAGCTGTTGCCTTGTAGCAAGAAGGTCCTGGGTTTGCTTCCCGGCCTGGGATCTTTCTGCATGGAGTTTGCATGTTCTCCCTGTGCATGCGTGGGTTCTCTCCGGGTTCTCCGGCTTCCTCCCACAGTCCCAAAACATGACTGTTTTTGATTGGTCTGTTTAAATTGTCCTTAGGTGTGAGTGTGTGTGTGCGTGATTGTTTGTCCTGTGTGTCTCTGTGTTGCCCTGCGATGGACTGGCTCTCTGTCCAGGGAATACCCCACCTGATTGCCCGTTGACCGCTGGAGATAGGCACCAGCCCCCCCGCGATCCTGCGTGGACAAAGCGGGTTCAGAAAATGGATGGATGGATGGATGGATGGATGGAAAGAGTCCTTTGTCTTCATTCTTCTCTTGAGCTGGAAAGAAAGCAGTTTAGAAGCAAATGCATGACCTTGAGGCAGTCTCATGCAGATTAGTTCTGTGTCAGAGGCATCTGTGGAGAGAGGGTAAATAACCTTCGGTGGAATAGCACCTTCATCACGTTACAGCGGGATGTGCTCTGCAGTCCTGGTACCAGTCAGTAAACAAGAAGGACCTGGGTGCAACACGCAGAAACAGATAGCGTCAGGCCAGGTGTCAGACTCCTCCCTTATTTGGAAATGACACAATAGCATTCTGGAACTGAAGGGGGTGCTATAACTAATATCACCTAAAACACAAGATTGTGGAGGACGGAGAGGTTCGTTGATTAAACCCTAACCCAACACTTGCCATTATTATTTATTCAAGCCTTTATTGGTAAACTGTTTAAGATGTGGCAGAGTGGAGTGAATTGCTCCACCTACTGCCACCTCCCCTTGATTATGGAGCCAGCCAATCAGGGCCCTGGTGGCTTCCTTTAAAAGGCTTACCTGGTCAGGTGTGTTTAGGCTTCTGATTGCTTTCACTCCATCAGGCTATTTGTTGCTACCCCCTCCCTTCCACAAGCTGAGGGGGGTGGCGGAGCTTGGGGCTTCTCCGTCTGTCCCAAGCAGTGCATAAGGAAGGGCCTAACTGAGAAGCAGCCGGTTTGGGACGGCGCACATGGATCCATTGGTGGAGGCGCATACTGAGCCAAAGGAACCACTGTGGCAGGCTAGGAAGGCGCTGGAACATCTGTTGGACAGAGAGCTGTCAGTGTTGATCTGCTGGAGTTATGGGACCAGAAGGAGCTCTGTTGAGGCCACAACCCAAACAGCTGAGTGGTTTGGCAGGCAGGCCTTTGAGTGGGCCATCAATGCTTGGTACTAGGGTGGATGAACAACATTCCTCCACTCTCAGGACTGCCTCCACGACAGCCAGAAGGACTGTATTTAATGCCTCTCTTTTAATCTGTGTAGTTATAACTGTCTTATCCTTTCATTCCCATTTGGAGACTGGAAGTGGTCGGTGCTTTTCCCCTCCCCCAGTGTGGCGTGTGGTTTGCCTTGGTGGAGGGATTTTGTGTTTTTGTCTCAAGTGTTTCATGGGTGTCCTGGTGGAGGTGGGATGACCACGGCTCCTCCTTAGTTTACTTACCACCTGGTAAGTTCCAACTGTGGTTAATTTTCTAAATTCTCTTGGATCAAGAGAATAAATTTAAACTTTCTTTTATTTTGTACTTGAAGATCTGAACCACACCATCTTTGAACTTCTTGAGTGAATGGGCCTACGGGATTAAGGTCTTAGCTATTCCTAGGGTGCCGTGCCTTAGGTAGTATTGTTGAGCTTTACTAAATTTTCCCCACATTGCCACAAAAATATAAGGACTAATCTGTTTGTTTTTTGCTTTCTTTTATTTAGCCGGTGCGAGTCCATGGGTTAGCAGAGTATCAAGTATAATGCTGCATAGTTACTACCAAATTCAAACATCTTTAGAGGTATAAAAAATTTTGCAGAAAATAAATAAATATAACTACATAAAATCAGCTTGAGCTGGCTAAATAAATTACTACAGGCACCACCTAAAGTTGAACCAGTGCTAGCAGAGGGCAACAAAAGGCACTATAATGCCACTAGACTACCACAGACAATACAAATTAAGTTTGCAGTGGTCATAGGCAGAAATTTTCTGAAAGAAATCTTTATATTTTGGAGTATAAATTCAGGCTTTATTGTGTAGCAAATTATATTTATCGTTAATTTGAACCTAGAACAGACTATTAACAATTATAAACTCATAACAGCCAAAGTTCATATGGTCTGACAACTGGCCCGACGCCAGAAACTCCTCCCTGATGGTGCACTGCCAAGTCAGTTATTCCTCTAAGCCCCGCCCGTTCACTCCAGTGACAGATGTGCTTTACCAACTCCAGACCGGTAGGTGGCGGAAATGATCACCAACCGCCACAAAGCAGAAAGAAGAAGCTCCTCCAGAAGCTCGCATACTGTTGCCAGAAAAATATAAGGACTAATCTGTTTGTTTTTTGCTTTCTTTTATTTAGCCGGTTCGAGTCCATGGGTTAGCAGAGTATCAACTATAATGCTGCATAGTTACTACCAAATTCAAACATCTTTAGAGGTATAAAATATTTTGCAGAAAATAAAAAATTATAACTACATAAAATCTGTTTGAGCTGGCTAAATAAATTACTACAGACACCACCTAAAGTTGAACCAGTGCTAGCAGAGGGCACCAAAAGGCACTATAATGACACTAGACTACCACAGACAATACAAATTAAGTTTGCAGTGGTCATAGGCAGATATTTTCTGAAAGAAATCTTTATATTTTGGAGTATAAATTCAGGCTTTGCTGTGTAGCAAATTATATTTATCTTTAATTTGAACATAGAACAGACTATTAACAATTGTAAACTCGTAACAGCCATAGTTCATATGGTCTGACAACTGGCCCGACGCCAGAAACTCCTCCCTGACAGTGCCAAGCCAGTTATTCCTCTAAGCCCCGCCCATTCACTCCGGTGACAGATGTGCTTTACCACCTCCAGACCGATAGGTGGCGGAAATGATCACCAACCGCCACAAAGCAGAAAGAAGAAGCTCCTCCAGAAGCTCGCAGACTGTAGCTAGCAGCAGAAGCTGCAAACCATCACCAGGCTGTGAAAACCTTCTCCTCAACAACCTGGTGGAGATCTGTCCAGAGCCAGGGAAGATATTCTGCAGTCTTCGTGACAATCGGAGCTCCAGAATCAGTTTCTGGGTCAGAGAAGCTTTTCTCTAGACTCTCTGACCTCTGGATCTGCTGCAAATTGAAGAGGTTCCCTCTATCAGACTCGGTCATCTGAGTTGGTCATGATGTAGGATCGCTGCTCGCTCTCTGATCCATCCTGCTCACACACTCCGACGGAAAAGCCTCGGAACTTCAGCTGCTTTCTATTGCAGCTGTTAGCTAAACACGGCTAAAGCAGACCTGCTACCACTTGAGGATCTGGGACTGATTCATCATCTGGATCTGGACAACATGGATACAGGTACACAACTACTATTGTGTGTGTACTTAGGGGTATTATGAATGGTGATTTTGTGACTGAAGGGCAGCATGAGTCGTCAGAGCTAGCAGCTAGCTCTCCAGAAGCATGATTTGTAGTCGTAGGATGTCCTAGGAAGGTCCCGCCTTTCTCTTCTCTGAGTGGCTACAATAGCTGTCCAATGATTGGCTATTTCATTTAGCAGCAAACCGTCTCATAAGCGCAGACTGTACTGATGGTACTGATGTACATACAGGTCCTTCTCAAACAATTAGCATATTGTTATAAAGTTCATTATTTTCTGCAATGTACTGATAAACATTAGACTTTCATATACCCAGGGGGAGCATGTAGAGATTAAAGAGTGTTCCTAGAATTTAGCCTTGGGGTACCTCACATGTCATGGTGATCTGATTTGATTGGTAGTTCCTAATAGAGACAACAGCCCCTGTCTTATACAACTGTTATATGTGTGAATATAAGGTTACAAAGGTTGGTCACTCACATCACGTGATTGTGTTTCCTACAGTTGTCCAAAAGATGGCGCTGGTTAAAGAGGAAGATCCTGAAGAACAGAGTGTTGATGTAGACCAGCAGAACCCAGAGCACCTCCACATAAAGGAGGAAGAGGAGGAACTCTGCACCAGTCTGGAGAGAGAGCAGCTCCATTTGGAACAGGAGTCTGTCACCGTCAGGTTTCCATTCACTGCAGTTTCTATAAAGAGTGAGGATGATGCAGGGAAACCTGTGTTATCACAGCTTCATCAGCAAATAGAAGACAGAGATGTTCCAACCAGCAGCTCAGCTGACCAGATGACAGCAGGAACAGGTGGAGAAGGAGAAACTAGCAGGAATTCAGATCTAAACCCTCATGAACAGACATCTGACTCTGATCTGTCAGACTTCTGGCCTGAAACTGGAGAAAGAGACAATGACTCAATCTTTAGCTGCCCAGAATGTGGTAAACAATTTGTCCAAAAGTGGTCTCTCCAGATACATTTGAGGGTGATGGGTCATTCAGAAATAAGTTCTTCGGACTGTTTGGTTAATAAGAAATGTGATGAAGTGGAGCAACTCGTAGACTCACGCAGGAAACTGAAATCATATAGTTGTGATTACTGTGGAAAAAAATGTGTTTCAAAATCACATTTAGAGAGTCATGAGATTTTCCACACAGGACAAAAACCTTTTGTTTGTGAACTCTGTGGACAAAGATTTAGTCAAAAACCAAGTTTAAACAAACACATGAGAGCTCACTCAGGACAGAAACCTTTTGCTTGTGAGCTCTGTGGACAAAGATTTAGCGAAAGGACATATTTAACTCGTCACATGAACGTCCACACAGAACATAAACCTTTTGCTTGTGGGCACTGCGGAAAAAGGTTTAGCAGGAGGTCATATTTAACCAGTCATGTAAAAGTTCACACAGGACATAAACCTTTTGCTTGCGGGCACTGTGGAAAAAGGTTTTACAAAAGGTCGTACTTAAAAAGTCACATGAGTGTCCACACAGGACAGAAGCCTTTTGCTTGTGAGCTTTGTGGGCAAAGATTTAGTCAGAAGAGAATTTTAAACACACACATGGCAGTCCACACAGGACAGAAGCCTTTTGTTTGTGGGCTTTGTGGACAGAGATTTAGCCAAAAGAGCAATTTAAACAGACACATGAGAGTCCACACAGGAAATAAAGAACTCATTTAACATCAAGAGTATCTAAAGGACACTTGTTGTCTTTAAATCCTAGATGTCCTGGTGGAAGTCCTCTACCCTAAATCAGAGCTACATTAGGCCCATAAGCCACCTCTTTCTGACCAGAGAGCCACATATTTCAAACTATGGGTAAGTATGCTATTTATTAGAATGTACTAGAAACGCCTGTCAAACCGTAACGCTCCTCCAACTAAATAGTCAGAGCTCCACATGCTCATACTTTTCATGTCCATGCTTTTCAGTTGCCCAAAATTGCTACTACAATTCTTTTTTTTGCCATAATTGATCTTCTAATATTTTGAGACACTGAATTTGGGATTTTCATTAGTTGTTTGTTTTAGTCATCAAAATTAAAGAAATAAACATTTGAAATATGTCAGTCTGTGTTCAATGGATGCATCTAATATACAAGTTTAACTTTTTGAATGGAATTACTGAAATAAATAAACTTTTTCATTCTAATTTTATGATCAGCACCATCACATGTCACTACTGGGTCAACAGAATCGCAACACAAGCAGAGGCATACAAATGTGTGTGGGTGGGGGGCGGGGTCTCTCCTCGTTGCAAAAGAACTATTATTAAATTTATTACCTAATTAAATTTAGGTTTACAACTTAGTAGGCACAGATGTTGGTGCTTGTCCATGTAAGGCCCTATAGACCAGACCAATCGTGTGTGAGACCCCTGTTTGCAATGTGACGTGAGAGACACGTTTCCCTTTCTCAGAGTCTCACTTACATTCAGACTCAGAGAAATCTGCAGCCTTGTGCAAAGATATCATCAGCCTAAAGGAGACAGCTAATCCTTTAAAGCCTGACATCCATCCATCTATTTTCATCCTCTTATCTGGAGTCGGGTCGCAGGGGCAGTAGCCTATGTCGAGAGGCCCAGACTTCCATCTCCCCTGCCACTTGGGCCAGCTCCTCCGGGGGAATCCCTAGGCGCTCCCTGGCCAGGTGAGAGGCATAGTCTCTCCTGGGTCTTCCTTTAGGCCTCCTCCCCGGTTGGACGTGCCCGGAAAACCTCACCAGGGAGTCGTCCAGAAGGCATTCCGGCCAGATGCCTGAGCCACCTCAACTGGCTCCTCTCGATGTGGGGGAGTAGCGAATCTACTCCGAGCCCCTCCCGGATGACTGAGCTTCTCACCCTATCTCTAAGGGAGAACCAGACACTGCAGAGAAAACTCATTTCGGTGTTTTGCATTCGTGATCTCGTTCGTTCGGTCACTACACAAAACTCGTGACGATAGGTGAGGGTAGGAACGTAGATCGACCGGTAAATCGAGAGCTTCGCCTTCTGAATCAGCTCTCTGTCTACCACGACCGACCGGTACAACGCCCGCATATGAAGCCTGACATATGAAATAATTATCAGAAAACAATTGTTAAATTTTAAAACATTTTTGACTAATACTAATCAACAATAACTTACTTTTACATCAATAAAATTAAATACAGTTTGTACTTGGCATCTTTAGCTTCCACCAGAGGGCAGAAAACCGGTTTATGATTCAATAGAGCAGCTTTTTGAGGAAAAAACAAAATGGAATTTATTAAAAAGAAAGAGCTCTTATAAACTTAGAAATGTGTGTTTAGATATGAAACAGTTGTTATTAAAGGGTTAAAATGACATGTTTAATGTTAATTCAGTTCGTTTTTTTTTATAAAGCGCCAAATCACAAGAGCCGTCTCAAGGCACTTCACATAGTAAACATTCCAATACAGGTCAGTTCAGTAAGCCAATCAGTAAAAAGTTTCCTCTATAAGAAATCCAGCAAATTGCATCTGTGCACCGTACAGCAGTCCTCATACTAAGCAAGGATTTAGCGACAGTGGAGAGGAAAACTCCCTTTTAACAGGAAGAAACCTCCAGAGGATCCTGGCTCAGGATAAGCAGCCATCCCCCACGAGTCACTGGGGATCGAGAAGACAGAGCACACACACACACACGCACGCACGCACGCACGCACGCACACACACACACACACACACAAATATACACTTAGTAGTGTTTAAGTGAGAGATACTTTATTGTCTTTAATTATTTGACACAGAGACACAAATCTAGTTTATAAAAATCTATTTCTTACTATATTTCTGTTATCAATGATGCTGAAAGGCAAATGATTATAAACGGGGATTCAAAGTGGTATTAAATGAGACAATGAATGAACTCTGATGAAACATGACCTGGTATGTTATAAGAGTTTCACTAAGTGACTCAGAAAGGTGTGGTATCTGGGTTTATAAAATAAATGTGGCTGTTTGTTTGATGTCATTTAAGTTATCAAATTAACATTAATCACTCTGACGCCATTGAGTAGTCTACGCACCAGGATGGTGGAAGTTGTTGGAGATTTGGCCTGCAAGCAAAGCATGGACTTCTGGTGTATCTGAAGATTGTAGACACCCTCAGAATAAGCACAACTGGTCAAAAGATACTTCCCAGGTGGCTTCTGTGGACAGTTTCACGTCTGATGAGCGAGTGATGGATTGAGCAAATAATAATTGATTGATCTAAAAAGGATGGTCCTTTAAGCCGCTAAAATTATTCCACTGAAAAGTCTGGCTTGATTCTCCATACGATGGTCATTTAGCATCAGCTATGAGCTTTGGATGAACTCGGAGCTCTGGCACTGGGGAAAATAGGATGTGAGTTCACGTTTAAGATTGTTTATAAACTTTGACCAATCAGATCTGATTAATTTGAATAGGTGTTTACCAGGAGACCCTCAGACGTCACACATTCCTCAGGCCCTCAGAAGAGGCTTATCCCACTTAATGTGAAACAAATCTGTTAAACGTTCATTTGTTTAACTCTTGTCGTGATTTGGCGCTATATAAATAAACTTGAATTGAATTGAATTGAATTGTTAATATACTGATATTAATATGTGAATGTAACTGATAATAAATCATTATTAAATTCTCAAATAGATTCAATTAGGATATTTAAGATATTAAATAATAAACATTTCTTTTTTTAATATATTTTTATTATCATCATAGTCAAAGACAATACAATACAGGATGTCATTGACATTTTCAGTGAGTACACACATACGAAGATGAATAACCAAAAGGAGTGTATATATTTGCACATAGTTGTATATATTCACATTTTTCAAGTAATCAAATAAAAAAGGACAGAAAGAAAAAAGAAATGAAGTGAAAATGAACTTTGGAACCTAGTCTGAACGAATACCTAATCCCCCCCCCCCAGCCTCGGCTCTGCATAACTGTAGTAATCAGAAGATGGAAAGAAAATAATGGAGAATGTAAAATAATCAAAATTTGGCACCAATCAGTTTGATATATAATGACAGCATGAGGTGTTCCAACTTGACATTTGCGATTTAGTGAAATAATCACCGTTCCACTTAAAGAAAAACTTATTCATTCGGCCTCTTAAAGTATATATTACCTTCTCTATTTTCAGAAAAAACATCATATCCACTAACCATTGGAATGTGGAGGGATATTTGGCGGACTTCCAATGTAGTAGCAAGGAACGCCTTGCTATTAAAGAAGAGAGGGCTATTATCTCTTTCTGGTTAGTGTTAAGAAGCGAAGACAAAGAAAGATCGGGGATCCCAAAAATGGCAATCAATGGACAAGGCTGCAAGTTTACCTTCAAAATAGAGGACATAGTAATAAAATAGCCTGTCCAAAACTGCAACAGCTCGGGACAGCTGAAAAACATATGTGTGAGATGACATTGAGAGGCTTTACATTTGTCACATTTGTCCTCAACCGCTGAGTACATCTCAGAGAGTCTGGACTATGACCCTATGAATCACCTTAAACTGGATTAGTCCTAAACGAGCACAGGAAGTAGTGGATTGTACCCAGGGTCAGATTACTACTTTGTTGTACCCTGGGCAACAATATTCAAGGGCCCCATCATCACGACCCGAGGATCACCATAATATGGTCACATACAGAATATTTTACTGTAATATGCAGTAAATATACTCAATACTTGAATGCCTGACATCACGTAACCCGCTCAGGGTAACCTTTGACCCACCTCTTGTGGACTGACCAATGAGGAGAGGGTCTTAACTTGAGGCCCTCTCTTCATTGGTCAGTCTGCATGAGACTGACTCTCAACTGCTCTCAACTGACGTTCAGTCATAGGCAGCGAAGCGTCTCTGTGCAGCGCAAAAGCCCGGGTGGACAGTTTGTTTAATATAGGGTGATTATATTTCCATTTCCAAAAAAGAGGACAGGCGATCTGTGCCTATGATGTCACACTATGGCAACGCCACACAAACCACGTTGGGACCCATTTTTTGTAAGAACTACATGAATATCAGATTCTGCAAATAAAAGGGCTCTAAAACAGGGGGGGTCATTTTGCCTTGGCCTCCAAAATGTCTTGAAACGGCCCTGGGTGTGTGACTGAGTGTTGAAGGTGATCTGAATTGTATCAGATGCATAAATATTACATGTGTGTAACTTATTGTTTTATACAAGTAAAAACGTGTAGTGGAGATAAATCTACCTACATTTTACTTTTCAACACTTTGTTTTGTTTTCTTGTTTTTATTTAACTATTTTCCTGTCCTGTCTGTCTCTCATCTTCCTGCGTCTCCTCTAAACTCTCCAGAAAAAACAGTTGCCTGGATTCTTACTTTTTCACCTCATCAGTTACTTTTGAGCAGATCAAAGGGATCTCCTGACCGCAAAGCGGAGAGCGCGTTTCGATGCTGCGTCAGTGAGGTGAAATCACTCCAGCACAGGTGATGAGCTCCGCAGTAGCAGAGCGCTTCAGGCGCAAATAAGACAGAAAGTAGAGAACATGTGCGGACATGAACGATCGTGTGTTAATTATAGATTTTCGGTTGCGCCACTTTAAGAATGGACCGTGAGCTGGAAGCAGCAGCCTGGAGCGCTGCACAACAACGATCAGTGCTGTGCCGCTCTCTGTGCTCTCTGCTCAAAAGAGTCCATAAATGATGTAATATAGGTAGAAAACTTTTTTCCAGCTCCCCTGGATGTGTAGGATATCTAACTCCCCCATAATTCGATCCCTGCTCCTGGATGAAAAGCCGGACATTTTCATCAATACAAGAACCCCCAGTCCGGACGCCCAGACAGAGAGTGAAAGGTGGACATGTCTGGGGAAAACAGGACGGTCACCCTAGTTTAATATAAAGCGGGAGATTACAGATGCAGTACTTTGCTCGTGCCCTTGCTCCCCTGGGCCCTTTAGAGTTCGGGCCCTGGGCAACAGTTGCCCAGTTGCCCGTATGGTTAATCCGGCCTTGATTGTCCCCTATTTATAGCCTCTTTCCACAGATCATCGGAAATACAAATCCCCAACTTGATCTCCCATGAGTTTTTGATCTTCGTGTTTGAATGACAACTT